GGAACCGCCACCTGACCTCCACCCACCAGCGAACGAGAGAGACGAAGGAATAAGCCCAGCTACGAAAACGAGGAGAAATGACAGTAGAGGAGGAAAGGGCGGACAGAGGCGGCCACAGATCCGACCGCGACGCCACCGGAAGAGGTCAAGCCGAAGAGAGCGAGAGGAGCCGCAGGAAGGAAAAAATCGCCGAAAATGAAAAAATCGCGAGAGGAGCCTGGCAAATATTCAACTTTTGAGTTTCTTGCTTGAGCTATTTTTGGCTTTCATTTTCAAACATGACAGCAATTATATCCTTTTATGGTATCAGAGCAAGATGAGATCCTGCATCTATTTTTTTTTTCTTTTTCATTTTTTTTTCTATTAATCACTCATTTTCCCAGAATGGCTATTCCAAGAAATTTTAGTATTCTTTTCCTTCAATGGAACAACAAGTTTTCTCCAATCACAACTCATCAATGTCAAGCTCAATGACATAAACCATTTATTATGGATGCAACAAGTTCTTTCGGCCATCAAAGGTATGGACTACAACACTTCATCGATAAGTCTCAAGGACCCCCTAAAGAGTATATTTCGAGCCCCTCTACTCAAGAACCAGCTATCAATCTTTCCTACTTATTGTGGATTTGGCAAGATTAGTTGTTGGCCTGATGGTTGCAATCCTCAGTTTCAGAAAGTGTGCTAGTCACTACTGTTGGACTCATTACTTCTAAGTAGATCTGAGAATGTATCGGGACTACCTTTTCCAGCCGAAGTCATGCAAAAATCTTGCAATATAGACTACAACTTGAGACCATTAAGAAGGAGTCTCTATAGACTACAACTTTAGACACATATACAACCTTCCTTCATTTTAAAAGGCTGGTTAAGAATCAATACAGTGCAAAGGTTAAGAGTGTCCAAAGTGATGGTGGTGGTGAATTCATGGCCATTTCAAAAATTTTTAATCAAGAATGAATACATCACATAATTTTTTGACCAGACAACCCCTACAAAATGGCCTTGCTGAGAGAAAGCATAGACACATTATTGAAGTTGGCCTATTCCTTCTTGCTACCTATTATGCCCCTAATCTTAATTGGGATTCAACTTTAATCAGAATAAATTTTCTAATTAAAAGAACACTCTCCAACAATACAATTGCAAAGAAGAAAACCCTATTTCTTTTTTTCTCTCTCTTCGTATCCCTCTTTTCACAGTCGACATGCCCTAATTTTCACTTGCCCTCTCCGGCGGGGCCGTCGGGCCCCTTGATGGTGGCCAATCCCTGGCTATGCAATGCAGAACCAATTTGGTTTTGGGGTCGTATTCTCGTGCGGTGGTTTTGGTCGGCTCTCCTGAGTGAATTTTGCTTGTTCGGGCTGTCATCTTGAGATGAAGGTCACCAGCTTCCATGGCGTCGAGGCGGAGGTGGGTTGCAGTGCTGCTGAGGGGGCGGGTTAGGGCCCTGATTGTTGTTTTGGTGGTTGGGGCAGAGGTCAAAGCGGGCTTTCTCTATCTTGTTCCTTTCTCCTATAGTGTTAGGGAGGAAGGGATTGCCTCTAAGTCGGGCCCGACTGTGGTGTGGGATGGGAAAGGCGATGGTGGTGTAGAGGAAGGGTCGTTTGTATTTTCTTCGACTGAAGGGTTGGGTCGACTATTAGGGTGTGGGTAGACCGTGGTGTTGTTGAAACCAATTTTGGGAGCTCTTCCTGTGTTTTCTATGTCTTGTTATTGCTTAGCAAATGGCGTATGCAAGGAAATTCCTACATTATCAGTTGGGTTTTGGTAGAGTAAGGGAGATCAGCAAGCATGAGTCCATTGGAAAGACTACATCAGGAGTCCATTGGAAAGACAGAAAGAAGATAACTTTATCAAAAGAAGGGGAGGATTGGGTTTTAAAGATGTGGAATTATTCAATGAAGCATTCATTCTTAAAATCATATAATGCTTTCTGGTTATGGTACAACTGGTCGTTGGTGAAAGATATGTTAAAACAACTTTTTAGAGTGGAGGTGAGAATTGGCGAGAATATCAACATTTGGAATAATCCATGGATCCCTGATGTTGAAGATAGGTTACATGACAAGAATGAGGTTGGAATGAAAATAGTCAATTGGATTAAAGATTTGATTAAGGAGAATGGTAGAACTTGGAACATGAGGCTACTTCAGGAGTGTGTTAACCAGTCTGATAAAGAGGCTATTCTGAATATCAAATCTCTGGATTCTTTTTTGTATGATAAAAGTCGATGGTCCCTTGATGATACTGGTAAATTCACTGTTTCTAGTTCTTATTCTCATTTGGTGCTAAATAAAGGAAAATTTCGAAAGTAGTCCCACAACTATCGAGTTTTCCACTTTTGGTTCCAATAGAATGGTGTTTCCCAAAATCGGTCCACTAACTTTTTAAAATCCATCAAAAGCAGGACAATTATGGTCCCGGATGCCTTTTTTGGCCTGGAGCTGCCGACGTGTCTTCAAATTGTCACACCTGGCCTGATCAATTAACAGCGTGGCCGATGACATGGCTACTAAATCCTCCTTGGCAGATGACGAGACACATAGGGGCAGAAAAACACAATAAAAGTGGGGAAATGTCCCAAATTGACAAAATCGGCTTCTCATTTTTCTTCTCGCGTGAACCCCAGAACCTAGTTCCTGAATTCGTCTCTTCAATTTCGCACACAGTGAAAATCTGTTCTTGGCGAGATAAATCACATACGTACGAGATGTCTTTTGTGACAGGAAGTGTTAATTGCTATTGTGGTCGTAGGGCTGTGATACGGACCTCGTGGATGAACGAGAACCCTGGTCGACACTTCCATGCTTGCTTGAAGAAAGAGGTAAGTTCTGCTTTTTTTTCCTTAATCGAATGACTATTTAGATTCCTCATTTTATGTTCTTTTTTTTTTCTTTTTTTCGTAATTTTCAAATGGAACATTGTCAGAAGGAGGAGGTTGTGTTTTCTTTGACTGGTATGACCCCCCAATATGTCATAAGGCCAAAGCACTAATTCATGGACTTTTGAAGAAGATGAATGCAAGTGAAGAAGAGATTCTGAAGCTGAAGACAGAGACACTAAGTTTGGATGCATTGAACAGAAAGTTAAAGAAAATTATTCTTGTGTTGGTTCTTTTTGTTGTGTCAATTCTCATCATTTTGAAGAACTGAAGTGTAAGGGTGATTCTGAAGAACTGAAGTGGTAGGGTGATTCTTATCATTTTGGAAACTGTATGGATGAATGTTGTTGTTTTGTTCCTTTTGAAAACTGAATTATCCTTTATGGATGAATGTTGTTGTTGTGTTCCATTTAAAAATGAACTATCCTCAGCTTTAGTGAATGGTATACTATGTACTAATGTTGTGTATTCAATTTGCAGCTTATGTAATGAATGTTTGACTATGTACTAATGTTTATTCATGAATTATGATCTTCTTTATTTCATATACTTTTATTGGTATTGTTTGTTAAGAGTTTTAAACATAAAAAGTACAAAGTCTACAACATAAATAAAGTAACTGCTAATGAGCAAAACATAAACTGAATTATATTCATAAACTAAAGTGTCATTACAAAAGCGGTTTACTCACACTTCTAAACAACAATCATGCCCCATATTTATCATCAAAACAACTGAAACTTCTAGTCACAAACTAAGGGAGACAACAAACACTCCCAAATACAGTTTCAAAAGAACAAACACTTCAAAAATGATGTAACTGTCCAACATTTCCATCACTTCCACCCAAAAGCACTTACAAAACAACCTAATCAGACCAAAAGCACTTCCAAAACATCAAACACAACAAACACATCAATAATCAAACGCAACAAAGACCATGTTGTTACTGTTTCTTTTTCTTTCCTTTCTGCACACAAACTGAATTTTGAGAAAGGTCCATGAACTTTTGGCCACCATCAATAACAATGGACTTTGAGTTGGTTGTGATGGGTCTTTTTTCAGATCTGGAATGAACCGAGGAGAAATCGCCCGGATCTGGGATGAACTGGTATAGGTGAGCTCAGATCTGACTTGATGGCCTCCGAACCGTTGTTGAACCGCAAGAACACCTGAAAAAACTCAACATCGGAGGGGTTCTCCGGCGTAGAGCCTCCGACGCTCAAGTCAATATGTGGAGAAGGTGGAGCGAACCGCCATCAGAGAGCAGCAATAATATATAAGAATGTAGAATTAATAGGAGTTAGGGTTTTGGAGTTACCTCAGCTCCTTTATATAGAAGTGAAGCATTTACCTGAAGTCCCCAAAATTCCCCGGCCGACTTACTGGAAATGTCCAAGTTACCCTGGTCGGTTCGCATTCCGCCCATTTCCTAGTCAGCTTCTAGATCCTTCCTCAGCTTCTTCCTTATCCTTAACTCTCCCTTGATACGCTAAATTATATCCGAGCTGTCGAGATCTATGAACTGCGAGACCTCTTCAGTCGACCTGAGATATCGACTCGAGTCGACTTGGTCGTATTCAACCGTTAGCAGATCCCACCATGCTTGATCATTGTCTTGGTGGGAGTCGACTTATGTCAGTCGACATATGTACGTCGACCTAGATGAGCACCGGGATCCTTGTTCGTGAGCATCACGAAGAGCCTATTGGCGGAGTCGACTTTGCTCGAGTCGACTCGGTGACCTCTGAACCGTAATGATATGGACCGTTATGCGTCAGTGTGGCTATATCATCTAGTCCCCCCTAAGATTACTCGAAGCGATTCTGAGCTTAAGAGTAAGTTTTGTCGACCGAATGTCTTCCTCGAGTCTTTTCTCTTATCCTGTCGTCTGTCATCATTCTTTGTTGTACCTGTTTGCTTTTTTGGTTTATAAGATGGTATTTATCTTATGAGTATTTTGGACCGGTTGGATAGGTTTAAGTCTTTTCAAATTTCAAAATTCAAAAGATAAGACACTCTCTTTCCACCGCTTCGTATTTCGTGCCTCATTTCAGCCGTTGAATACGACTTTAATCTAAGGGTTAGGGTTTTTCAATTTTCCCTATAAGTATCTCTTCCCTTTCCCCATCTTCACTTTTCATATTCGAGATTCTTCAAACTTTCTGTTTCTCTGGCAAACACATCATCTCAAGCTTCCATCATTCCGTTCATTTTCCGACGCTCTTCTTGGATTTTTAAGGACTTCTCAGCCAACTACCATGAGTATGAGTAAGTTTTCTTTGCTTTTCGATTTGTTGGTGCGTTCAAAATAAGAACTTTCTGTTTTTCTGGGTAATATGATTGGGGCTTGGGTGTTCATCAGATGTTCTGGGCATTTTTCGTGAATTTTCTGGCGATTTTCTCGTTAGATCCTCAATCGTAGACTTTCCATTCTTTCAAGTGTTTTCATCTATTATCCGTCTCGTTATGAGGGATTTTTTTCCATGACTCGACCTTCCCTTGTTCAATCGATTCGACATGAGGAGTTTTTTCCTTGTTTATTCTTTCCTTTCTGCTGCCGAGTTGCCTTTTTGATCCTTTTGTCGACCCTTACCTTTTAGAGACGAATCTTGGTCGCGTCTTCCCCTGTCTACTGATTCTCTTATTTTTTTTAGATCCCGATCTCGACCCCATTTCTGATCCTTTCTCTGGCCCGTGAGATCGATGGCTACTCGGGTTCGGACTCCGTCCACCAAGTCGATGCTGGTTCGTGTTATCAGAACATTGGACCAGAGGATTCTGTTAACTCTAATGTCTCATCTTTTGGTATCGATTGGAACGTGTACAATCAGGCGTTGCTTTCGGGCGCCCTTTATGATGACCCTGACGTTTCTCGAACTTTCGCATCTTCTCGCCTCGACTTGATTACTCGAGGTACTCTTTACTAGGTTCTTCTAGACGTCTTTTTATATAGAACAAGCCTTATTCATTTGCTGGTAGTGACTTCCTTGATCGAGTCTTGATATGGCGCAGTTCCTAATATTGTTTTCTTATGCTCTTGCAGCCGAATTCGATGGCTTCAGAGAGTTCAGTGGTCTTCCTTCTGACTGGGCCCTGGTTGTCCCAACGCCTGAAGACGACTTCCGTTACCCTTCCAGGGGTTGTTATTCTTTCTTCGTAGACCAAATAATGTCGGGATTGCGTTTCCCGATTCAACCTGAACTGCTATCGTTAAGTAACCTTTTCGATGTACCAATAAACCAGTTCACCCCCAATTCTATTCGAATAATGGTAGCTTTCATAGTTGTTACCCGCATAGTTTTAGGTAATTTTTTACCCGAGTTTTTTGTTTACTGCTACAGGTATAGGTTTAGCAGAGACGCCCATTGTCAGGGCCGTCGAGTAGGTGTTACTTTCCTTGACGACCTCTCTTCCAATATCACCGAATGGAAAAAGAAGTATTTCTTCATTCGACCTGCTCCTGGCCAATATCCCTTTTCGAATGAGTGGATTACAAGTGAAACAAAGCAACGTAAGTGTCCCGACTCTTCACAATTTGCTGATATGCTAGAAGAGTTAAATAGGCACGTATGGAGCGCTCGTCGGCTTACCAAAGATACTTCTTTACTTAATCATGTTGGTATTTGCATTGACAAAAGTGTTCCTCGTCTTAACGATCCTTGTAAGCTTCTTTGTTTGTCGTCTTTTGTTTCGATTTATCTCGTGTTTTTGCGTTTATTTGTCTTGAAGTACACGTACGGCTGGTGTGTTTGTTGGTATTGATCATTTTCTCTCTTCTTAGTAAAAGCATTGGCCCGTTTCGAGAAGAAGAAGGCTGAAGCGGCCAGCAAATCGGTTGCTCGAGAGCTTAGAGGAGGCTCGAGCTCTATTGCTCCTTCGGCGGCGGTCGAGACGACTGCCGCTAAGAAATCTAAAGTTGTTCTCCCTTCAGCCTCTGTACCGAGCAAGCCGTCGGGTCCTTCTTCTCGCAAGAGGTCTCACGACCAAAGGGACAAGACTTTAGTCTCCGACTCTTTGAAACGCCAGAAGGGGAAAGAAACGAGAGTTGGGGTCGACACGACCGCGCCCCTGGTTGGGGAGGGTGTGGGGCAGTCGTCGCCCGTGAGGGTTCAGTCAGTAACCCTTCAACAACCCTCTCAGCTCTATGACAACCCCGACTCCCTCCAGATTCTTAACTATCTCCAATCGGTTCTCCCTGAGGAAGACAAAATCCGGACCGACGGCAACCCCTATCATCGGGCCCGTTACGCAGCTCGACTCATTCCTCGGGTAAGCTTAATCTTATATTAGTTTGCTTCTCTCATGATTTTGGTGTTGGGTCAACTTCTTATTTTTTGTTTGTTTGTCTTTTCTTCAGCTTCTCGCATGTATCCTCCCGACTATGATCAAAGAGGCGACTTCTCCTGAAACCAATGTCCAGATTTTTAGGGAGAAGTACACGACTAAGTGTAACGAGCTTGCGGCCAAGGAGGAGGAGCTTGAGGCCGCCAATGCCGTCATCGCCAAACTCCGCTCTGACAAGGATGCGGCCGTTCGTAAGGCCGAAAGGCTGAGGATCGACTTGGCCAAGGCCAATGATGAGATCCTGGTCGAGAGGGAGAATGGGGTACAAGAGGGTCGCCGAACCTTCTTAAAGTCTCCCACGGGTGCTGCTTTTCTTGCCCACTACCGCAAGGCTGTGGTTGAGGCTTTCTGTAAGTCGCCCGACTTTTCTTGACGAGTTGGTTCCTACGGCGCTCCAATATTTTGACTTCGCATGTGATACATGGGAGCAGGCCGTGGTCCAACCCGATTTTCCCGGGAAGATCGACAGGGCTGCAGTGAAGAAGACCCTTCCCGACCCTGAAGGCTTCAGTGAGGTCCCCCATCCTGGCCGCGAGTGGTGGGCTGGCCTTGAGGCTAAGGCTATTTGTGCGGCTGAGCTTTCTTCTCAGCTTGAA